GATCGGATTCTAAATCGCATTTCAAATTTATTGAATGGTAATGAATGATACAAATTGCACGGCTTTGCAAACTTAGTCAAATTTTATCTATGTCTAAATCTATCAACTCCCCTTCCCAGGTCCCACCTAAGGCAACAACAGGTGAGTTTTCTTCATTTTAGAATAGTAACCTGAAATGCTGTAAAAAATAATGGTACAATTATAGGTGTAGAATCGAAATCAAATTCCAAATTTCTTTAGTTCATATTACTGATGCAAATCCTATTACACTCAGCGCGATACGTACCCTAAGTTGTTGAGAACTTTAAGTGGGTATCTGATATGTCGTACATTTTTAAAATTTTTCCTTCCACCAAGCACTCACTCAAAAAGCAACCTTTATGTTCCGCACGCGGGTACAGTGGTTGGTTACTTTCTCTTTAATGTCTCGCACGGGGCAAAAATTTCAATCTGGTATATGATTTCTGTTTGGCTAAAATCTGCAGATGAAGGTGACAGAAATGAGAGAAAAGACGGTGGTGGTGAGCATAACTTGCAGCAGAAGGTGGAGAGCAACGGTAGAGTCGATGATGGACGGACAATGGAGGCTTCGTCGCCGTCAATGAGAGGCGAGAGTGCAGAGAAAATTCAAATTGAAATTGAAATTCATGATTTTGAAGATGAAATTGAAATACACGATTTTTTTTCTTTTAAATTATTCGGGAGAAATGCATGTATTTAAGTTTATTTATATAAAAATAAACAGTAATATTAAATTTGAAAAGTTAAAATTTAAATACACTGCATTAAATTCATGTTTCTAAACATATTATTGTGTTTAAAAATATGTATTTGAATTTAAAATTTGTATTTTAAATACATATATTTAAAATACATATATTAAATATATATTTTTAAATATATTATTTGAATTGAAATAAAAAATAATTTTTAAATATATATTTTTTAATTTATTATTTAGATATTTTAAAATATTATGTATCTAAAATTAAATTTTAAAATATTGATTTTTACATATTTTAAAATTATTTTTTAAAAAATATTTTTAAAGACCAAAGGGTAAACATATAATCTACGCAAAAGAAGAGTCTAGGTCTAATAGTAACACAAGTTAAATAAATATATATTTTAAAATACATTATTTGAATTAAAATAAAAATATAATTTTTAAATATATATTTTAATTTATTATTTAGATATTTTAAAATACTATGTATCTAAAATTGAGTTTTAAAATACTAATTTTTACATATTTTAAAGACACAAAGGCAAAGACATAACCTACACAAAAGAAGAGTCTAACTATAACAGTAACTCAAGTTAGACAAACTTACCATGTCGTAAGATAATGAAAATTAAAAAAAAAAAAAAAAAAATAAAAAAAAAAAAGAAAAGGAATCAATCAGGAGAATACCGTTAATTAGAAGAACTCGTGAGGACAAAGGCCAGACAAGTACAGGCGACACACATCGCGATCGTAGTACTTCCGATTCACCTCCTTTACGTCACCATTACGGTTCGCACCCATCAGCGCATCGAGCTGCTTCCAAAGTGTTACGGCACTTCCTAAAATGACTTGGTATTTGATACTTCTGGTTACAAAGTGGTCATGAATCCAAAAAGCCCAATGCTAAAGGTTCTAAAAATTGAGATTAAGGAGATTGTGGCTCATGATCCTTTCCCGTGAAATTTGATAGTGAGTTGGTCTAATTATATAGGCTTCAATCTTCTCTACAGTCTACATTTGTCTAATAAAAGTACATTGACTTGCCCACTAAACATGTGTGTTTTGTAAGGAGGAGAAAGTCTATCATATCACCTGTAAACCAGCTGATATGGTATCCCGGTCCAATAACAAAATAACAGGTATAGTAGACTTTCTCTTATAAGCAGAGTTTGCATAATTTTATTTTGTTTTGTTTTATTTTTTTTTTTAATTTTAAGTAAGGCTCTGTTTTGTAGAATAAAAATATTGAGCAAAGGTATGACACCCAGGGCCTTAAGCATGATCAAAGAAAAATGGTTTTTTTTTTTTTTTTGTGAGAAGTAATAAAACAATAATAAAATTAGTTGGCGTTTGCTAAACCCGTACACCTTAATCATGATTCTTTACTCATGCAAGATTTATTAGCATTTTTTAACACCTTAATTGAATATTTGTAACTGTTTGTTTGTTTACAATATGCATTCCAAAACTAATGAGTATAACAGATGATGGCATTCAAAATATGTTATTATCTTGTAAATTTTAGAGTTTAATAGATATATCTATGAGATACTTGAAAGATCAAATATTTTTAAAATTTAATCTCAACTTTTATAAACTTTGTCTTTGTTTATTTTTAAATTGATGAGTTTGCCCAATTCGAGATGAGTAAAGAATGAATAATGATAGGAATGGTGAAAATTTGAGATCAAAATTTGGGATTATAATATTATAAATCTTTTTAAAATAAAAAAATTAATTATTAAATAATATATAATTTATTTTTTAATATTTTAAATTATGTAAGTTGTGTTACATCATTAGTATCAAAATATTGAATTTTGATATTGTATATCATTATTAGTAAAGAATATGTAAGTGAGGAAGAGAAGTGAACCGGAAAATCCTTTGAGTTCTTCATATGGGCCAAGTCTGAAATTCTTGGCCTAAATATTGATTGTTTTGCACTCCACAAGATCTCTCGTTTATCTAATGTGGAATGCTTTACCTAGTTAGGCCACATAGGCACACTCCCTACTTAGCTCTTGTGGGAAAACTAGGCCATTGGTAGCTCACAAGAAACGCACATGCATACATGGTGGACTTAAACCTCAAACTCAAAAACTTAAGCTAGTAGGACAAAGAACTGTACTCACATGTTACTAGCTCGCCTTACATTTCTTTTATAATTTTATCAAATGCATCAAGTGGATTGAATAAAATAATATTAATATGTCTTAGTTTTTTTTTTTCTCATATATATATAAAAGAGGAATTTATTTATACATAAGTTTTATACGTTATATTTATATAAAATTTTAATAATTTCTCTTTTTATTTTCAATGATTGAGTTTTGTTACAATTTTTTAAGTAAAAAAAAAATTATTTTGAATAAATGTAAATAAATCTTAACTATAAAAAGTAAAAAAATGAGTGATTGAGAGTTTATATAAACATAATATGTAAATTTTATTTGTAAACGATTTCCTACTCATATATATATATATATATTTTCCACAATAACTTCATCCTTGGTGGTTATATTGTTC